GAGGGGGTGCCCGCCCTTTGCTTTCTCACCCCGCCCCATCATCCTGCTTTTATGTAGTGCTCATAAACACAGCATGCGTGCACCTGAAGTGCAACGCAGGCGGGATTTAGGCTTCCAAGTCCAAGACTACGATTTACCTGTGCCTGCCTCATCCATAACCTGCTTGGTATTTGCAAACCAACCCTTCTTGCCTGAGGCTCCTAAGCCTGCGGAGCGACAGGCATAACAGCTGCGCACACCGAACCTCCTCTTGTTGCCCCGAATTCAGCACAGCGCACGACACCCACGGTGACTTCCCGTCAGGGACGCTGAAGGGACCTCATTGCATGTATGCAATGATTGCAATTTTGTAATAATGCTGGACTATGCCAGATGCTTTTAGCCTCTGGCAGGAGAAGCAAGTGATTCAAACAACATCTCCGCACAACGTGCTGGAGCAGTCACCAGGTGCGTGAACAGCAAGGTCGCTTTGCTCATTTGTTACAGCACTATCAAAATTCCTTACAAGCCTATCCTCTATTTTTCACCTTTGTTTCCAGTTAAATAAAGGGAAGGCACAAAAATTTGTTAGGAAAGAGCAAACAAAATTCCTACTGTTTGAAGAACTTCTGCTACTCCAGACCAGTTTATAGCACAGGTGCTTTCCTATGGAAATCAAACACCTCCCAAGAATAATGTAAGGCAATATTATTTATAAGTTACAAATTACAATAAGCTCGTATTTCAATGAGTCCTTTCCCTCCTTCTTCCTGCTCTCGCTATCTCTTACCCTCTCACCCATTTTTCAACAGAAGGACTAACAAGGAATAATTTGAGAATGATATACGATCGGTTTTATTTGCCAAGTCTTTTTATACTTGAATAGTCAATCTGTTGCTTCCAGTAATGGCAGGGCAGGCAGTATGCGTTCTCCCGCACTCCGCAAAAGAAAACAGAGAACGAATTAGCCATTGATTTAGATACATCATGGTGTGCACTACGTGTGAGCCGGCTGCCTCGCAGTCAGATGCTGCAGAACTACTTAGCATCACTCCAGACTCCAGACTGTATTTTAACGATGACATATCGGGAGAGCCTGCAGCAAGTTAAAGAGACAAGAACCATGCTCAGCGGCAGACACATTTTTTCACTCCACACGCTGGATGTGAAAATATGCCTGGTGCTGCCCGCAGTGACGGTACCCACTGGATGGACAATTAGCGAAGGACATCAGCTGGGTTCAGAGACTTGGCTTTCCCTGAAGTCAGTGGTACTGCTCATGTTTAAACCAAGAGTTAAGTTTGAATTTCAGCTGATAAATTTTAAGAAAAGTCTCAAGAGGTCTTGATTTGTTACAATGCATTCACCACGCTTACCAGTTAGAAACGCTGTATTTCAGTGTCCCTTGAAACTGAAGTTTACGATGACTGGGTGGGCTCTGAAACAGGACACATCTGCTTCACTGTATCTAGGTTTACTGAACTCCTCCTATGGCTGCCTATATGATATGTTATACGTTATGACACAAAAATATCTTCCCATGACCAGCCCTGTTCCAGTGGGGAGTTTGGGGAGTGACACTCAGAGATAAAACAGGAGGCCTGGCCTCCGCCCTTCACACCTGCTCGATAAGCAGCCGCCTTGCGCTCTGCGCAACTGACCCAACCTGGGCTTGCCCACAGTGATCCCTTCTTGGTCCCGCCGCAGGGAAACCACATGGGCATTACTTGCAAACCAGGGAGGGTACGAGAAGCAAATGACCTGCATGTTGGGAAGCCAAATATTGGCTACATGAAGGATGGGATACGATACAGCAATGCTAAGACTTTAAGAAGCACAATGAATACACTGCAAGCACTTTTCTGCATATGCAGACCTGAAAATTAAGTCCAGAGGACGCTGTTGGCTCAGAAAGCCAATGAGACCCCACGGTCCCCTAGCCTAGCAGCACACAGAGCCCAAAAATATGAATGAACTAAAGCAATCTGGATCCTGTTTGGTTGATCAGCTCTGATGACTCATCTTCCCTGTGCTCTCCTCAAGCTAATGACAAGGAAACAAACGCAGGCGGAACAATATTAAACTTGGTGTCATTTTGGCAAAGTACCTGGGATTTTGTCGCTAGGTACTACTTCCACTTCTTGTGTCACCTGTGCCTCAAGGAAGAATTAAAGGTTTAATAAGCAAATAGTCTGTTTTTCTCTTGAGTCACCAATAATTTCTACTCGAATCCTGGGACAGCCTAAAATTTTACCCAAATAAATTTTTGAGAAACTTGCTGTCCGATGGAGCTTAAGGCAAGCAGCCGGTCAGGGCGGCTCCCGTAGGCTCTCTTCTTAAATTCAGTGCGTCCTCCTTGAGCTGCGACCTGAGATGCTCCACATGGAGCAGAGCAGCAGGCTCAGGGTGGAAGCCAAGGGGCAGCCCCTGGGGTTGCTACGTGCTGAGCCAGCTACTCCCAGCCAAGAGCGGTGCTGTGAAGCAGTGGCTGCAAACCCTCTAAATCCTCTGGGTTAAAGAAGAAAAGATGGTTACGCTTCCGAGACACGGCCAGTAGTGGTGCCAAATGCAGAGAGTAAGAGTCACCGACGTCCGTCCTGCTCTTGGAGGCTGCCCTCCTCTCTCGGGAGCTCCTGCCCTTGTGAGCCCAGCCTGGCAGCCCACACAGCATTTCCCTTTTGAAGGAACAGGGCGACACACCATTATTAAATGAAAAGTATGAAATAGGGGAAATGTGAATGTTTTAAGCACAGTTTTATGACTGACAACACTATAATCACTCTCAGATGTGATTTTTGGGTGATGGACAACATTTCTTATGCTGGTTTGAATAGTTGTGTACCTGTGAGCTTGTCTGCTTCCTCCACCTGCATGGACTGCCCTATAAAGGTACTGCCTCTCCTTACAAGCTTCTGGGAGCCCACCAGCAGAAAGTGGTGCCTCCCTGAACTCCTAAAAGAGCTTTTCATCCTTCCTCGCCCGTTCCTGCAGCCTTCACAGCAGCCGGCAATTTGCCTGGAGGGGGAACGAGCTTGGATATCCTTCAGCAGAGGGAGACTGATGCTTCCCACCCACATCGGGTGACATTGCGACGCCGATTGCCTTTTTGGTGCCGATGCCAAAGTAAATCCCCCGATACCACAGTTCCTCTGCTGGCAAAGCCGGGCCCCGCCCCGGCCCTCGGGAGGAT